CAGGTCAGGTGTGCATTTCAAGGAAGGCTAGGCGTTTTCCTATATCATATTCTTTGGTGGGATTACCGATTAGGCAAAATCATATTTGATATGGCAATCGACTAAATTAGTCATTTTTCGTTTGTAATTAGGGTCAACACATCCATATAACTGATCTGCTGGTAGTGAACCATACTTATAAAGGAAAAATAATACAGAATATTTTCTAGGTACGAGTCTAATGAGAATGTTTGATAGTTTCGGTCAGAAACAATATCGGAATAGCTACAAGTAAGATATATTGTTTGAAGGATTACATAGTAACAAGCAATTGAAGAAATAATATCTCAATAGTTTAACATTGAACCTAGTCAAAGCAACCAGTACCATAACATTTGTGGGTTGGCACACAAGAGACTAGGGCATGATAAGTCATAGACTTGGTATTAGAGATAGAAACAGGATAGACGCGGCGGCGATGGGAGCTAGTTGGCTGACCGTAGTTTTTTATAAGAGACGTGGTCCATATGGCAAAGGCCTGACCATGACTCTTACTGAGAGGCTTAAGCCTCGAATTAGTCACCCAGACGCAGGGTAGGGTCCATAACGCCTCAAGTTGGCACAGATGGGGTGGCAGGGGTCAAGTGAAATATGTGAACCAGGGAGAGGGGAGACGGATCTTACGGGGCAAAAGAGAGACGGTGGTAAGACCTAGGGAAGGAGTACTGCGTAACAATATGGCAGACTCTAATCAACATTCCCAGCACAAGAGTGAAGAGGATGGGAAAGATAGCGTGAAGTGTGAATGGTTTTCATATATGCCGCTCAAATGAGCACACGACACTACATATAAATAGGCACGGTAGAAAATTGTGACAATGAAGGCTTGATAGGAGGATATAGGAAATTTGAATTGGCTAGGGCAGAAGAGGAGATACCATAACTGTTTAGCACAAGTTTGGTCAAAGGATCGGCTTCACTTGTCTCTTTGACGAGTTGTAATATGGTGCAAAACTCACTGACGATGTCGGCTAAAAGTCTGGGAATGTACCACGTCCAAGGTCCGACTTTGGAAATGATTCTGCATACAATGGACTGCAGACAAGGTACGTATTTCTAAGTTTTCCTACCAATATGACCGAGTTGGGAAAACAAGTTCAAACAACTTCTATACAACGAAAGGAGACTGCGATCACACAAAAGACTACACAATCTTGGTCTTCATACCAGTCATTATGTTTGTTCATATATCTTACCATCGAAGGTAAAATATGTGCTACTTATGGATAGGTAAATAAGTCTAATAGTAGAAGCCACACTCAGCCTTATTCCTTGTGTTATCTCTGGATGCTCTTCCAGAGTTTGTATTATAGCTTGAATAGCTCCTTGAATAGGAATCCTTGCGCACATAGACACAGCATCCTCTTCTGAAAGTGTCTGCTGATCAATCAATTTCACAAAATCCAAAGAATTTTCGACTGAATATGGCCCAAAATCGGCAGATTTCCTTAGTTTTATGCATAAAAACGTAAGATTTTATGCATCACGCATTTTAGAGGCTCAACCTCCTTGTGAACCTTGGGGAGACCGTAAGCCGTCGGGGCCCTTGCATCTCTCCGGAGTAGTGAATTCATTTTCCACTTCTCCATTTCACCCTTACTTACGCATACCTTAAGGGCATCCTAGTCTTAAATCTATCTGTTGGATCTCTCAATAAAGGCATATATATGTCAGTATCATTTAAATGAACTAGCATTTTTCCTATATAACTTGACCTAGCCATGACTACCACTGCTTCACCTTTGTCCGCTTTCACAGCGAGTATATTATTACCACACAGATATCTAGAAACTCTACTAAGAGGACAAGCTTTCTTTGGCGGAATTATATGGTCAAAATGAGGGATCATTTCCAGTTCAATACTATTCCCCACCTCCTATGGCAATCTTTCATATAAGCTAATTAATTCAAAAAGTATGTCCAGAGAATGGTTTACCTCATTTGGAAAAGTAAAATGCAATCCTCTTTCCAATAACAGTACCATACTATCCTCCAGAGTTGTACTAGATAAATTGATTACCTTATCCTTCCTCAGTTTGATACAACCATGTTTAGGACGACTTACCTCATGCGCAAAGTTTCTCGACCTAATTCTAATTCCTAAGTTCCGGAGCTTCTTATCCGACGAGTCATTCTGTCAGTCGCCTCCCCTAACAAGTCAGCCATGCCTTGTAACTTAATGAAATCCACATCCTTCAATATTTCAGAAAGGGATTGCCTAAGCCTTGTTTTGATTCTAATTAGTTAGTG